ACGCGGCGACGCGCGCGACCCGTCGCGGCGCCGGTCGGCCTCGCGGTTCGCCACGTCATCAAGCTTGGCCGCCCGGAGCTCGAGCCGCGCCGCGAGGCCCTCCGCGCCCGCGCGCCACGCCCCGGCGACGTCGTCGGCCGCCGCGAGGCCCTCGCGCCTCACGTCTTGCGCGAGCGCGGCCTCGTGGTCCGACGCGATGGCCGCGAGGGCACCCGCGTGGGCCGACGCGAGCGACTCGAGGGCCTGCTTCTTGCCGTCCTCGAGGCGGCTCCGCGCGGCGTCCGCGGCGCTCGCGGCGCTCGCGGTCCTCCCGCCGCTCGCGGTCCTCGCGGAGCTCGGCCTCCTCGACGGCGAGGCGCGTCTGTGCCGCGAGCTGCAGCGCCGACGCGTCGAGGCGCTGCGTGCGCTCGACCTCCTGTTCGCCGCGGAGGTCCTCGAGCTTCTCCGCGGGCTCGCCGCGGATCGACCGCCTCCAGGGCTAGACTAGTTAGGAAATCGACTTACTCCTAATCCTAAAGGTTGAGTGCGGCCTTGATCGCCTTGCGTTCTTCGGGGCCCAAGGCCGGGAAGAGCCTGTTGAACTTGTTGCCGCCGTTCTTCGGCCAGTTGTTGAGGACCGCGCGGAGGATGCTGGGGGGAAGGAGCGAGTAGATCTTGTACTGGCTCCAGTGCATCAACTCGACGGCGACGTCGTCGAGGTTTTTGATGCACATGTTCGTCTGGCCGATGATGTCCTTGGAGAGGGTAAGGAACGTGGAGGGGTCGGGCGCGGGCCCGCGGAGACGGGAAGGGCGGAGCATCTTGAAGAGGCGGATGAGGGCCGCGCCCATGGTGTGGTAGTCGCAGCTCCACATGGCGTGGCCCAGGCCGCGGCTGGCGACCGTGTACTTGAGCACCTGCGAGGGTCATCGTGTTGCCCGTGTAAAATCGAGGACACTGGCGCGCGCCAGGTGCGCCGCGGCAGATGTGACGTGGAACTTCATGGAAGTCCATCAGAATTCTCTAGCTCGGTCAAATCGAAGTCGATTCGGCTGATTTTTGGACGGATCGATTGCTCTCGTTGAGTTCTCGAAGCACAGCGAAAGACTCTGGTCCAAATCGTTCGATTACGCGCACATTGAAGTCGGGCTGAAGATGTGATTTCCACACAGGTCATTGCTATACCGGTCCCGTAGTTGAGCCGGTAGATGGCGGTTCGCTCCTTAACGGAGTCCGCCGCTGCATTGATCGTAAACCCTGCCAGCTTCAGACCGTAGTCGATGATGCCCACAGAGGAGAGCGTCGTTACCGCGGTTAACTCCAGCCCCTTGGCCGTCGCCAGCGCCGCGAGGACGAGGCCGATGGCGCGCGCCGAATGCACCGTCGGCGAGTCCGCGATGCAGTGACCTGGGGAAGAAAGGTGAGCAACGCGCGAAGCAGCAAGAGTGGAGCACACGGGGGACGCGCCGATAAAGTCGTCTGAGACTTTGTTTCCCAACGCGGACCAGCGCCAGCCGGCCGGCAGCCCGGCCAGAA